GGGGGTACTACGTCAGTGTAAGAAAAGCATGAGATTAAGAGAACACATCGTTTTAACGTAAGGCGAATCTATTAATAAGAATGATTTAGGCCTGAATAGACCGGATTGGTTATAGAGGATTCATATAACCGACTTATTTGAGATTGAAGCGTAGTTGATGATTGAGATATCAAATACCTCCACAAACTTCAACTTAAAATCAAGGCTTGCAAATCTTTGAGTCAACTCAAACTCATCTCTGAGATATTCCCAAATTTGAGCATATTTCGCATCCTTCCATGCAATATCGGATCTGAAAAACAAACGAAAATTTCATCTGATATCACCAAACACAGCAAAGAAATTGTCATTTTCCAAGAAAGCTACAGTCCATGTAAAAGCGGGTGTTGCCTTTAATTAAATTCACAGGACATCAAACAGAAGTTACTATAATTCCAACAAAGACATGTTTTTTCCATTTTTTTTATAACAGTTTGGCTCGCCAGTTTGCATGCGCCTCGACTATTCCACCAGATACATGTTATATCCCACCAACACAGGTACCAGGTAACTTTGCTTGGGTAAATGGAAAGATACCACCCTAGTTTTTTGTTTTTTTTACTCTACTTGGATTTAAACGCTAGTCACCGGGTTTGCACCTAATTCACTGACCACTAGGCCACACCTTTGGGTGCAAGGGATGGTCTAAAATTAATTACTATCATTAGGCATGTTTACATACATACATATATGCATATATATATATATTGATGAAACACACACACACTTAATATAATTAGATTTCCTCTCTGCAGCAATCAAACTACATCAACTAAAATTGGGAAAAGCGTGTGATTGTAAGAATGGTCAAATTCAATGCTTAAATCAATATTTTGAAAATTCCCTGGGAAATTCATATGATACAACCAGATTCATAAGGACTTCTACTACAAACATAGAAAGATTAGGAGAAGCAGACATGGGAAGATGATGCAATTAAAACATTTTCCGCACCATGAATGACATTAATTGGAGTGCAACAGTTAATTGTTGTTTCTTGCATCACGCAAGGACCCCAATTCCTGAATTAAGATAATGATAAATAGATAAATAAATAAGCATATTTCCAGGCCACTTCTACTTCAAAAAGTTTACTAGTTCAAAGATAGAAAACTTACAAATCACAATTACTGTTTTTTTTTTTTTTTGATATAGCCAAATCAAAATTACTGATACAAGAGGGAAACAGAAAGAAGATAGAAGAAATAGAGAAATTCGTAACGTATTTGCAAGTATACCTTTCAAAAAGTCCTAGCTTAAGAATAACATCAGCAAGATTAGAATTTGCCTTGCCAACCAGTTGGAAAAGCTTTTTCCTCTCCATTGTGAAAGTTCCAGTCTTTTCCATTCCACGATTGATGTCCGTGAACTCAGCAACCATACCATCAACCTGGAAGGGCAGAGAATACTAGTCAGAAAGTTACTATAAATAAGAACCTTCTCAGGCCACATATTAGTTGGTAGAGACCTACTTGGCGGACATAGTAATCAAGAGCAATACTTTGGCCAAGAACACTGCCGATAGTTCGGATACCATCTATATTCATGTACTGCAACATTATGTAGTCTAATCCACCTTGCATCCATGTGCTCAAAGTTGGCTTCTCTCTTACCTCATATTCTATTATTCCACAATATAGACATCAATGAGAGTACAGAAAGCTTCTCTTCTTATAAGAGATGAGAGAAATTAAATCACTCTCAAAGTTAGTACAGAAGCACGCATGAGATGACTTGAATATTCCAAAAAAGACTAAAAAGACAATTCTACAAACTGTGAACAGAAGCACAAAACAAAAGCAAAGGAATGATCCTTTACATATGCCCCAGATCTTGTCCAATGTACTTAACAAGATATTACTTCCAACTAGCCAAACTTTGCTAGACAAAGAACTAACATCCAACTTCATATGACACTCACTTCAGTCGGTTAGTATAAATGAAAATTATTAAGATGCACTCTAACAACCCCGGGAAGTGATTATATTTCTGCCGCTTCCCAGTAAGGTCATCAATTAATGGGAAAGTGAGTTTTAAGAAGTTAGAGAGAATTCCAAGAATAAATTTAATTTTGTGTGTTCTATTAAAATGGGACTGAGAGAGCGTGTTAGAAGGAAAAACACAGAGGTTTGCATTTGAAAATAAAGTAACTAATAATGCAACAAAAAAAATTGCATATGAATTAAAACTGTCATATGGATCTTTTTTCCAAAAAAAAAAA